ATTGTGATGGAAACGGAAATCGTTTTGAGAATCAAGCAGAATGTCGCTTAAAATGTTTCTATTCTCGTACTCCAGGTACAGATTTTTTGCATGTTGTTGAAGAAATACAGTTTTGAAATGCTTCCAGATCTGCATGTCGAAGAGTGATAGTGATAGTGAATTGATGGTAGATTTTGAGAAAAAAAATGTGCTTTTTGTTTTATTTGCTTTGCTGTTCTTTTCTATTTTAATGAGACACTTTCCATTAGTTCTACAAGTTTAGTCTTGAAAAAACACTGCATGCAAAAATGGTTATTCAAGCGGAATGTAGAATATGTTCTTATCCACTTCATAATTGCCCTTTCCTTGTCAGTCTCAAAACCAGTTAAAACATTAAGATAAAATTCTTCTTTTGTAGATTCTTGCATGGCGTTTTCGCTGTTGCTGCTTTTTATTTTCAAGTTACAGATTGTCTTGTGTTTTTAGTGCTGGGTTACAATTTCGCTAAAAGTGTTTTTGTGATGTTAGAAGCTTACAGTTGGCAATTGATTGAACTTTAGTTTTTAGCATGGTGCAGAAGTTCCATTTCAAGAGCTGAAAATGCTTTAAAAGCTAGATAGAAAGAAAAATATTATTTTTTACCAGTCAAGTTAACAATGAATGCAATTTATTTTAAAGTAATGATTGTACCTTTGTTTTGACCAAGAGTCAAATGCTGTCTGGTGTTTTGGGAGCAGGAGTTTGGTCCGGAAATTGTATTTTGTCTCTACACTTATTAGCTTCAATATATTCATACATTAAATGAGATTTTTTTCTTTTTATGGTTAGGAAGTTACACTTCATCAGAACGTGGAGTATATGAAAGGGACCAAGGTCAATCTGCTCAGGGTCAAGGTCATTCAAAGTCCGGTCAAGGTCAAACTGGAATGGATCATAGCCATGGTGAAGCAAAAACAAATCATAGCCATAGTGGATCTGAAATGGATCATAGCCTCACTAAATCAAAAACAAACGATAGCCATGGTGAAGCAAAAACAGATCATAGCCATGGTGAATCAGAAATGGATCATAGCCATGGCAATTCAAAAACAAATCATAGCCATGTCGAATCTGAGATGGATCATAGCAACAGTGAAGCAAAAACAAACCCTAGCCATGGAACATCAGGAGTGGATCATAGCCATAATTTTCTAGATGTCTGTTCATTGGACAGCAACCCTGGAAGGCTGTGTTCTAATTGGACGATATATTGGGCTTTTAATTCTACAAGTCGAAGATGTCAGAGATTTTATTATGGTGGTTGTGATGGAAACGGAAATCGTTTTGAGAATCAAGCAGAATGTCGCTTAAAATGTTTCTATTCTCGTACTCCAGGTACAGATTTTTTGCATGTTGTTGAAGAAATACAGTTTTGAAATGCTTCCAGATCTGCATGTCGAAGAGTGATAGTGATAGTGAATTGATGGTAGATTTTGAGAAAAAAAAATGTGCTTTTTGTTTTATTTTAGTTGCTTTGCTGTTCTCGTCTATTTTAATGAGACACTTTCCATTAGTTCTACAAGTTTAGTCTTGAATAAAAACACTGCATGCAAAAATGGTTATTCAAGCGGAATGTAGAATATGTTCTTATCCACTTCATAATTGCCCTTTCCTTGTCAGTCTCAAAACCAGTTAAAACATTAAGATAAAATTCTTCTTTTGTAGATTCTTGCATGGCGTTTTCGCTGTTGCTGCTTTTTATTTTCAAGTTACAGATTGTCTTGTGTTTTTAGTGCTGGGTTACAATTTCGCTAAAAGTGTTTTTGTGATGTTAGAAGCTTACAGTTGGCAATTGATTGAACTTCAGTTTTTAGCATGGTGCAGAAGTTCCATTTCAAGAGCTGATAATGCTTTAAAAGCTAGATAGAAAGAAAAATATTATTTTTTATCAGCTGATTTAACAGTGAATGCAATTTATTTTAAAGTAATGATTGTACCTTTGTTTTGACCAAGAGTCAAATGCTGTCTGGTGTTTTGGGAGCAGGAGTTTGGTCCGGAAATTCTATTTTGTCTCTACACTCATTAGCTTCAATATATTCATACATTAAATGAGATATTTTTTCTTTTTATGGTTAGGAAGTTACACTTCATCAGAACGTGGAGTATACGAAAGGGACCAAGGTCAATCTGCTCAGGGTCAAGGTCATTCAAAGTCCGGTCAAGGTCAAACTGGAATGGATCATAGCCATGGTGAAGCAAAAACAGACCGTAGCCATGGTGAATCAAATACAAATCATAGCCATGGTGGATCTGAAATGGATCATAGCCTCACTAAATCAAAAACAAACCCTAGCCATGGAACATCAGAAGTAGATCATAGCCATAATTTTCTAGATGTCTGTTCATTGGACAGCGACCCTGGAAGGCTGTGTTCTAATTGGACGATATATTGGGCTTTTAATTCTACAAGTCGAAGATGTCAGAGATTTTATTATGGTGGTTGTGATGGAAACGGAAATCGTTTTGAGAATCAAGCAGAATGTCGCTTAAAATGTTTCTATTCTCGTACTCCAGGTACAGATTTTTTGCATGTTGTGTTTGAAATGCTTCCAGATCTGCATGTATAAGAGTGAGGATTGAAAATTGATAGTAGCTTTTGATAAATCTTTTTTGCTTTCTCATTTGGTTGCTTTGAATTTAGGTCAGACACTTCCCAATAATTCTACAAATTTGAAATAATTAAGGAATCAAAAGAGAGGGATTTTTTTACAGAATGGTGAGATGATGGTTTTTCTTTTTCCAATCATACCTAACTAATAATTACTCTTTCATTGTTAGTCTAAGAACTAGATGAAACATATTAAGATAAAACATTTTGAACTAATTTTGAGTTTTGAATAGATTCTGTTCTAGAATTTTGCATGGCTTTGTTGCTGCTGCTGGGCTTCATTCTTGAAGTTACAGATTGTCTTGTGTTTTTAGTGCTGGGTTACAATTTCACAAGTGTTTTTGTGAAGTTAGAAGCTTACAGTTGGCAATTGATTGAACTTTCTTAATTTCTTGCATGGTGCAGAAGTTTCGTTCCATGGGCTGAAAATGCCTTTTCTAAGCAAAGAGAATTCTTTATCAGTTCAGTGAAAAATGAAAATTTTATCTTAAATATAATGGATGATCCTCTAGTTTTATCAAGAGTCAATTGACTTGGTCTTTTGGAAGCAGCAGTTTAGTCCCACAAGTCCTACAATGTTTTGTTTCATACATTAAATGTGATATTTTTTCTTTCATGGTTAGGAAGTTACACTACAGGGCGTGGAGTGTCTGGAAGGGACCAAGGTCAATCTGGAGCAGGTCAAGGTCAATCTGGAGTCAATCAAAGACATGGTGAAGCAAAAGCAAATCATACCCATGGCACATCTGGAATT